CAAGTATAAAACATCTTTGATCTTACAATTTTATTGTTTAAAATTTTGAGAAGAGTTATTAATATACCAACATTTAACATTTAAATTTCTTTGTTTGAGATGTTGATGTTACTAGATAGAGAGAAGGAAAGAATTTTCTCGTTACCTATTTATTGAAAAGCATGGAAATTGGGGCATAGAAAATATCAGATGAAAAACAGTGCTGTAACGGCATTAAATTTTAAATTCATCTATTCTTCAACGATTACCCCCTCTCAAAGTGTGATAAGATGACTAACAGCCTGGTATATGAATATTATATAACAATGAAGAATGTTAAACACTTCAAGAGAAAGGCAAACTGGGGAATGCTAGCAGTTAAGACAAAGAGGGAGGGGGGAAGGCATTTTTATAGAATTGACAGAGAATCAATAAATCAAGTGATGCAGTAAGGCAAGGGGAGAAATATTAGAGTGGTGGTGGTAGGATGGAATTTTGCAATGAGGAAATTCCAAGAAGATTCCGAAAAAGGCATGTGGGTCAAGATGTCCTCTTTCACAACAGAAAGGCAACCATTTAAAAGAGAATGGATTGAAGAGCACAGAAGAATGAAAAGAAATGCATGAATTCATAAATCTTCAACTTATCAGTCAATAGGAAATGAGTTTCTTTAAACAAATGTATACAGGAATCATATCAGCCAATAATAACAGGTTTATTAAATTTTTCATACAGCATTATTCTTCTTCTATCTGCCATGTCACTTCAGGACATGAGCGACCATGGCTCTCCAAAATTTCCTATCCCTCAGCAGTTTTTTCTCCTTTTGCTAAGCCCCACCCCTATCCAACATTCATCAAGCAGATGGCTCACTGCTTTCCCCTATCTCTCAATATGCCCTGTGAGAGTTAAGTTTTCCAAGAATCTCCTTGTTCATTTTATTTATTCAAGGAATTTTAGTTGTCTCTTCCTGATTCAGAATATAAGTGTTCTTTTTGTTGCTATTTTCTTTAAAACTTCCTCATTGCTTACTTGCACCATCAATGGAATTCTCAGTATCCTTCTGTAGAACTATATTTCTGTTGCCTCCAGTTTTCTCATCTTTAGAGAGATTTCCAGCATTCACTGCTACATAAGAGGATGGATATCACATAGAAACAAAGAAAAAAGATGCTGCATTGCTAACAAAAGTTTTCCATTTCTCATCACTTTGCTTAACTCTTGGAAGGCATCTTGTTTGGATTTCAATGTCATATTTTCCAACACAGCATTTCTTGCTTATAATAGATGTATTAAGAATTTCATTGTCTGGAATCTGATATAAATCTTTAGAACTGTACAGGTTGGAAACACAAAAGGAAAAATCATAAATTGAGGCAAACTCCATTGTTTGAACATTGCCAAAAAAAAAAAACAAAAGTGAAAATCCTTTCCCCAACCTAATCATATACTTAATAGTTTAAGACTTTAGTTTTATATAGAACTAGCAGCATGGCCCTAGCATTGCCCGTGTTTGATTCAAAAATCGTACGACTCATACAGCAATCGCTATCACTTAACTTAAAATATTTTTGCACTTCCTTGCCTTTAAAGGAGTGCCCTTTGCCGTGCTGATGTTGCTACATGCCTTACTTCTTGCCTATCTCACACTGCGAATGTTTTCTAAGCTCTATACTAAACATTAAATCTGTTACGAAAAAAGAACTAAACAAAATGAACACAAAACAATCAGCTTTAAAAAAGGACTCGTAACTGGAAAAACCGAATGAAAAAAGAATGTTAACAACAAATACTTTTTCACATCCAACCCAGTTCTGCGGAATCAGAATCAACATTGAGTTTAAGCAAGCGAATGAGCCAATTGGAGTAAAGTGCCATGCAGATTTAAATTTTTCCCATTTGTGACAAATGCAGCTATTGATTTTTTTTGCATGCTAGTTAATATTCGTGTCAGTCAGCAGTTGGCTCTCATGCTGGCCAATAGAATCTTCCTGCCTATTCATAGCAGCCGCTATAGGCTCTTACTCTTTACTCTTACTAAAATGGCCGCAAAGTACATGAAAACTGCCGTAGAAGCATGAAAAAAAATCGATTATTTCCATTATCGATGGGAGTTTGGAAATGCAAAATCGGTCTTGGCCTTGCCACTAACTTGGAACATGTGCATGTAAATTTTGGTGCAAATCCATGAAAATTGCGGCTGTGCATTAGTTACACACACATACACACATCCTGCTTTTTATAGATAGAGATCCTATTGATACAGGGTAGGTGAAATGAAACTCCTTATTGAAAATTACTCAAATTTGTTAATATTACTACTTTACATAAAACAAAATATACTATGATCCCTAAAGTATTAGAATATCACTGCTAATTTCTGTTTTTATTTCAGAGTGACAAGTGCAACCCAGAATGACACAATGCCTGACACTGCATGAACGTGCTCAGCTAGTATCGCATTATGATGTGTAGCAGTCCATGATACAAGTGCAAAGATGGTGGTGCAGAGTCATCAATCTCATGCTTCAATAGATGCCAAAACCATCAGAAATTGTCATTCCAAGCTGATGAATATTAGATCTGTGGTAGATTTCCCACAAAATCGGTTGCCCTTCAACATCCAGATTGGAAGAAAATATGCAAAAGGTAGAATTTTAACAATGTACTGTACTTCTAACATTATACTATTCAAAATAAAATATCTCTTATGAAAATTGACCAATAATTAATAAAGTTATTAACAATTTTAAATAGAGAACTTCTTTCCATCCAGCGTATAGAAAAACAAATCTATTATAATCTCACAAAATATCTTAAGTAAGGTATTGCAGTCCAGTCATGCTTAGACCTGATACTGATAACATGTAACCTAGTACAAGCTGCCAAATGGACAGGTGGTTGAGCAGATGAACTTCTTACAGGAGCCAATGGTCAATGTACATATGAATGGCAACCTTCCTAGAGATGGTATCACAATAAAAATACCCAGTATACTTAGAATACCATGAGTGTCCAAGTTAAATGTCAGAAAGCACATCCAACATTGTAAAAACCTTGCCTAAAATTATTATGACAAGTCTTAGTATGTTTGCCAGGCATATGTGGCAAGGTAAAACGAGATCCTCTGTTAGGCAGGACCCAGCTTGCTTTGTGCAAGATTAATCCTGGTCTTGCTTCAACAACAAAAACACAGCTAACATTACTGGGGATTAATTGCAGAAAGAAAATCTATGTAATTACAAAGTAATCTCTTTGTGAAATGTGATTTAAATATACTAACATGTACTTACAGTCATAAAAGTGAAAGCTATATTTTTTAAATAATATCTAATTTTACATACACCTCATATATAAATATTATTCCAATACAGTTTGAATTACTGAACAGCAAAATCTTCACAAATTCATATGTGTTTATGATTTTGTGATTACTATTGTATGGTTCTTACATTGATTAAGCAATTAATAAAATATTCAAGAAAGTTTTCTTTCTATATTTATAATACTGTATGCAAACATGGAGTTTAAACACCCCCCCCACAATCAAATCAATCTTTAAATACAAAATTAATAGATTTTTCTAAGAAAAATCTAATAAAAAAAAATTATATTGAATTAATTTTATATTTCATGTTTGTGACAGAAGATATGAAATTAACATACTAAAACAAATTAACAGATAATATCTAAAAATAAATTAGCAAAAATAACCCAATCCAGTTATTTTCTTTTGATTGCAGATGTAAGAATCTCTGACCAAGTTTTATTTTAAATGTTATAGATAAAGGCCAATATTCAACACCTATACCTTGTCATATTTTCAGAATAATACCTCATTATATAAAGATGAAAACTTAGTTATAAAGTCAATTGTGAAAAAGAATAAAGAATTGTAAACAGAAAATGTTTGCAGACACTTGGGCATCTATTATTTAAAAAAAAAAATAAATAAAAATTTATTAATATAAGACTGTTCTTTTGTTGTTTTAATATCCCCAATAAGTTACTGCTGCATATCTACCATGAAACAAGAGTCACTGAATAAAAAAGTTAAATTCTTATTATGCATTAGCATAGTTTTATACAAATAGATCAAATCTTAATGATTATCAATAATCAATTTCACAGAAAAAAACAATCAATGTTCCAATATTTTAAATATAGTGCACTTTATTTCTTTTTAAGAAAATTATGTTAGTTCACAGGCTCAAACAAAATATGGTACCTATTTAAGCTATCAAGAAACATGGCTTTAAAAGTTTACTGGCCTATTTGACATGGATTTTTTTTCAAAAAGATTTTCACCAAAAAATTACCCTGTGTCCAATACAGCAGTATCATGTATGAGTGAGACATGAAGACCATGTAAAAAGTAGGGTTCATCAGGAAATAGTGCACGCATAGAATTTATCTTTGAAACTAGGACTCCGGGAAAGTGAAGAAAAATGATAACAATAAAAATATCCCTGAAAAATTCAGCCAGGAAAATAAGAAATTTATGGAATTGCACACTATTTTGCTGCTTGTTTTGTAGACATACTTAGATTTTTACAGAAATAATTGCAAATACAGTAATTAATTTTTATATAAGTTTGTTTTGTTTTTAATCATTTCACCTCAAAACAAAAACACAATTAACAAGAAAGAATACAAGAACAATTAAGACAGTATGTACTACCAGTGAGGAACACTCCACACACGTACACACACATATATATATATATATATATATATATATATATATATATATATATATGTGCATGCAATTTTCATTTAACAAAACTTGGTATTGATTTATTAGGAATCTTGTAAATGACATTGCATCAACTCAAATCTTGAAATTTTACATGAAACATTTGCAGTTCTATAAATTAAAGCTCAATCTGAACCAGACACTTCAGGAAAGTGGCCTTGTACCATATTTGCTTTCATTTAAGTAAATGTTTCTAAATCCCAAACTTATGCAAAGGACATCTTAACATCATTTAAATACAATTTGTAAGAAATCAGATTCTTACCTGAGGATCTGTAGGGAAGATGTTATCCACCAATCGCTTATAACGTGGCTTCAGGGCCACACAACAGAAGCAGCTCCCTGAAAATAAAAAGACCATGCTAAGTAAGAATTTTGCATCACTAATAAAATATTTTATTGAACATTTTATAGAAAGGCTTCCCATTTTCCAGCAAGTATTAAAATATTTTTAGTAGTATTCATTTGTATTAAACAAATTTTATGACAACTTGTAAGAAAAAGAACTTGCCTTGGCTGGAAATAAATGTTCCTTCCCATTGAGGACTCACAAATAATGAAATATATATATGTAAAAGTTTCATTAAAAACAACTGACATAATACCATGGTTAAGTTTTTAATTTAATTTTTCTTGTATTCTTATAATTTTCTTTTCTGGACATAAATTATATAGAAATTGTACAAATGTAATGTCTGAGCATTTTTGGCTATAATTTTAGCTATTATCAAGGATGACTTTATTTTTACTTTTAAGTGAACGTATGGATTGTTCTATGTATATATCTAGAGTTATAGGAATGTTTTATTTTCCAAACACAGTCATCACATTATGGCCATGTTCATAATTGATGTTATTGAGTGTTGGCGTTTTCTTTTTTATTAATAATGCTTCTATTATTTTTAGCCTTTTTTACATGTGGATGAGACTGTGTGTGTGTCTACCTAATCTAAAACTTAAGTTTTGATTAATGTGAATAGAAATAAAGAAGCAAAATTGCCATTTGTGTCAATTTTGGTAATGTTATCAATAGCCATCCATCTTATGAAAATGACTGTCTACCATGTAGACGCAAAGAAATCTTTAATGCTTAATGTTATCAATAGCTCTAAAAAGAAAAAGAGAAATAAAAAAACTGGAAATTCTCAATGCATTTCATTTGTACATCAATTTACAGTTATATCCGCATGTGTTACCTTTGCTTTCCTTTGGCTGATGAAGAGGTGCTCTCCATGAAGCAACAAAATTATTGCTTCAGTTAATCAAGATTCTCACCAGACTCAATATTGATTTTGATAATTATTTAAGCTCCCTAACATATTCTATCATCATTATCATTTTCTTTGCCTTGTCAGTCTAATCTACATATATAAAAATGCAATGTATATTCTTATATAATTTTTGTATATAACACTTGACAAAGTGCAGAAATACAACACTGATCATTGACAGAATAAATAAATAAGGTAAGGATGTGCATTTGTGGTGTAATGGATAATCACTCAGAATGAGAAATCAGAGAACAGTGTTCAAATTCCAGTTAGTTTCATTACATTCACTTACATGAAAATACCCTTTGGAAAGATATAAATCAATCTCTACTCCTCACACCTCAGCTATGGGTTCAATAGCAGGATATATTGGGTCCAATAGCCTTGATTAGCAACCAGTCAACCGCAGAAAGAAATGGCAACCATCTGCAGAAAAATCTGCCTAGTCAGTAATGAATTGAAAGAGGCATAATCACACAAACGTATATCACATATGGCACTTAACTGACCAATCTCAGGTAAATGTGCCAATTCATATGTAGATTATTTTTTTTTAAATGGATTCTAGTCAACAACATCTCTACTTGATTTTTAGCAATTAATTTTCATTGAAACTATTCCTTTAAATGATTTTAAAGATCTTTACTTACAAAGCCACTATTGTGTGTTAAGAGTAGCCAAATTTTAGTAAAGTGCCCAAAGTCTTTTATTTCAATTCTGTGTATCTTTCACTAAAACAACATCCAATGGCAATAAACAGTATATGTAATAGTGTTAATCTTCCCATTTAGAAAATTATTCTATTTTTATAAAAAAATATTAATGGAAGATCTATCTCAAGCATTTTTAAGGATAATGGTTGCGGGGGGGGGGGTTATGTTTTCTATTTCTTTAGTGTTTTTAGTTTAACATATTTACTTATAAAAGAGTTAAAGTCAACTTTTACTTAGTTTACTTCTTAAATTTAAAAGCAATACTATTTAAAAGTTATTAATGTTTCTGAACAGGATTGTAAAAGTATACTAACTACATTGCAAAGAGGTGAATCATCAGTCATACTAATACAGGGTTCATTGATAGTTTCAGGTTTTTCAGCATTATATCATCTGTCCCTACCAATGAGGTCATCAAATTTTAACATGGTAAGACTGACTATGTCAAAGTAGAGTTTTTCAGTTATAACATTACACTAGCAAAATGACAGTGTTAATTTAATCTAAAGTAGAATACTGGACGTTAAAAGGAGCTCAAGTTCAAACACAGCTACTAATATGCACATTGAACATATTAAGTTCACTCACTCATCTTTATGAAACTCTCAAAAACATCAACTTCTAGAATCAAATACAAAATGTAACAAAACTATCACAGTGGCATAACAAAATTAACATTTTCATAAATACAATTTTAATTCAAGCAAATATTTATATATATATATATATATATATATATATATATATATATATATATATATATAATATATATAGAAGCAAACAGGAAATGTTTATAAATTTAACATGTTAAATTTTATAAATTTATGCTTCCTATTTGTTCCTTATCCTATCAGTCATTTGGATTCTAATCCATATTTGATCTCAATTCACACACACACACACACACACATACATATATATATATATATATATATATAAATTCCCAGATGAATTCTGTGGACAAGACAGATTGGTATCAAATGACAATTGGAAAAAAATCTTACATTTTGCCGACGCGTTTCATCTTCCAACTTTTTCAAGGCAAAATTTTGAATTTTAATGTAACTATAACAACAAAAACATTTCGATTTCATTTTTGCCTTGAAAAAGTCGGAAGACGAAACGCGTCAGCAAAATGTAAGATTTTTTTCCAATTGTCATTTCATATATATATATATATATATACACACACACACAGAGTAAGGCAAAAGTAGTGCATCATAGGGATAATTCTGAAAAACAAAATTGCACATGAAAATTTTTTTTCCAATTGTTAAATGTCCTGTTCAAAATGTCGTCCTCCTTTTTAAAACATATTTCAGTTCTGTGACTGCATGATTCATTAACACCTTGGAGGGATTCCTCTGTTATTTTACTGTATTCATATTTAATTCTTTCATTAAGTTCCTCAATATTTCTTGGCCATGCCTACTAAACAACTGATTTCAAATGGTGCACAACTTTGCCTTACCCTATATATATATATATATATATATATGCGCGCACACACACACACACAATGAAACTTATGAGAAAAGAAAAATATCTAGGTCAACCATACTCAGAAAAAAAAAAATTGAACTAAGAAAGAAATATACCTCAACTTAAAGAACACAAATTTCTCCACAATGTAAACTAGAAAACTCAATAACAAACAAGCATAGTTCAGGGCTTGCATAGAATCCATAAGTATCAAAGTCATGATTCAAAGTTTCATACAATTAAGTGACTCTCAGATTGCTAACACAAATACATACACACACACACACAAGATAAGCAGAGAACATTTATTCTGGTCTCAGAAGATATGATTCACCCAAAATAAGAAAACTCCTGGACTGTTTTCAGTTCTATCTGAGCAAAAGAGATTCTGTTTACCAGTTAAGAAAAATCTATTCTTTAGCAGATGATATATGTCTGGAGAAATGTGAGCTTCACTAAAACTTCAAAAGCTGTTATATTATACCATCTACTCTCTTCATGTACTCTTATCACATATACCTAATTAAAAATGCTTCCATCACAATTGCACACATAATTTTCAGCATTGTACTGGAGTGTTTTCTTTACTAAATATTGAACTTCTCAAGATTACAAAAGTTACAAGCATTGAAGCCATGCTCCACAAGATGCACTTACACTGAACAGATCATGTGTCAAGAATGGAGGGCTATTGTTTCCAAAAGATTTTATTGATTGGTGAATTGCCAGTAGGGAAAAGGAGCAGCACAGAAGCCACACAAGAATTTCTTCACCTCCTGCATCATTGATTACTGCCAGTGGGCAACAAGCTACAGACAGAGGGGGGGAAAAAAAAAAGACAAATTTTCCAGGCTATATTCCTCAAATCCTACTCTCCACCAACTGTTTTTGAGAAAAACTACAGAACTAATTTTGAGAAAGAGAACAGAGTGTTAGAAAATGGTGTCTTACTAGAAATTCATCTCGGTTCGCAAATCTTCTGATAGTCACAGTAACAAAACATGCTTTTTCTGTTTTAGTCTCATCAATGTACCTGCACCAGAAATGAAATGTCTTCCTAGATTTTTAATTGCAATATCAAGCCCGACGATATAACATGCTACCTTATCATGATAAAACTACTGCATAATAATACATAAACAGAAAGAGATAGTAAATCGAATTCTAAGAGTCTTCAGAACAGTTAAGACAGCCATCCTAATTTACATTCAGATTCATAACTTAAATCCCAGCCCTGTTCATCATAAGCTAAAATTATATTCCGATTTTCCTAACTGTAAACTGTATTTAACCATGTGTATTAGATTTTAAGCTAAGAAAAAGAAAAAAAAAATGTTCATCATGTTTAAACCATTTAAAAACCAATAGATTTGTATTGTCCACAGTAAAAGGGAAAAAAAAAAAATCAATAGAACTTTGTCTATATAATTACAATAATTGGTTAAATACAAGCAATTATATGAGAAACAACTTTCATTTAAGAAATATCAATTTCTTATTGCCAGTTGATTACATCACAATACCTGCTGCTTTTATTTTTTAATAAATAAATAAATGAATATTGTACATGACTTAAACATTGACTGAGTATTTAAGATATAGAGAAAAAAAATCTGTCAATAAAGATGAATGAGTTTTAACATCTATTCAAATGGACAGGAAAAGAAAAATTTTCCAACTATATTACAAGAATGTTTTACCTAATTTGATATTGACAAACATATTATTAGAGGACATAAATATGGACTAAGCTTGAATACAAAAAAACTTGAAATGTTTCCATAAAGCTATTCATTTATTAAGTTATTAAAAGTAAAGGTAATAGGTATATTTTGCTGTAATTATCTGGTAGCGAGATAATGAAATATATGTTTCTCATATGTAATTGCTTGTAT